TAGACAGGTGCCACGTGAGCACTACATGTGAGGAGCACTTGCCAAGCAAACTGCTCGACTCTGCATTCATTACTTCGAACTTACATCAAAATTCGCCTTGATGCGCTCTGGAGTGACACTTTTGACAATTACAACGATGCCACGTTGCAGTCCGTGGCGCAGCAGCACCTGTGCTGGCGCCTTCCCATGTTTGCGTGCGATTTCAACAACGTTCTCCTCCTCCAGCAGCGACTTCACCTTGCCCCTACAAGCAACGTGACAAATGGTTCGGTTCAAATCCCACCAGACGAGTACAATGACCATGTGAAAACACGCAGACATACTTCATGAGACCGGGAGATCCCAGAGGTGCATAACCCTCCACCACTATCTTCCTCGACTCACAATACTCAATCAGCTTTGTGTTGAGCCAGTGAATATTCACCTCAACTTGATTTACTGCAGGTGGGATTGCGCATGCTTCCAATATGACTTCCATTTGCCTCTTGTTGAAGTTCGACACGCCTATCGACTTCACAAGTCCAGCAGATACCAGTTCCTCCATGGCCTACACAGACACGTTTGCATCCACGCTACAGAGATACCTTCCATGTATCCTCCAGTTTGCAACATTCAAATACGATTGAGTTTGGATCATGGACATCGAATTCAACACCCTCCTTGTATTTGAACGACGTCGGAAAGTGTATCAAGTAAAGATCCAAATACTGCATGCCAAGATTTGCAAGCGAGGTCTCGCACGATTTGCGCACATCTTCAGGTGCATGCTTTTCACACATTAGCTGCATTCACAATAACAAATGGCTGGTATTTGGAGGAGTACCTTTGAGGTTACGAAAATATCCTCACGCTTCACGTTGTACTTCCTCATAGATGACTCTATCGCGGCACCCACCTCCTTCTCATTTCTATAGAACATGGCGCAGTCGAAGTGGTGATATCCCACACTCATGGCCACTTCAACGGCTCTAGTCATGTTTCCTTTCGATTCCTATAACCATTGTGAAATGGACAAACGTAACTCTTATTGCATCGAAGGTGCCGAAGGCAAGCTGGGGAATCGTGTGACCGCTGTTGAGAAGTAGACTTGGGTTCAGATTCATCTATTCGGATGTAAAACGAACGCGAATTGGCTTATACTCGTGCTGACGCAGGAAATTAGGTCATCGCCCATACACCATTTAATCATATAAACAAAATTGCTGATTATTGCCTCCTTGTACCACAGTTGACGATTTCGATATATTTGCCTTGAAAATGGCACAGACCCATATGGCATCGGCGAATGCGCATTGAGTGGCCTGGCTGATGTGTTGCAAGTTACTGGAAATCATGAATTCGTTGTAATGATGCTTTCAAGAAATACACGGCCACAAATTGCGACCAAAGCACAACCTGAAGCAATTTTGCCACTTCGCCATTTCCCCCACCCAGTGATTGCATTTACATTTACTTTGGTTTCGAGATAACTTAACGAATGCAATGCGTCACTCATTGCATTTGGCATAGACTCACCTCGACTCCACGCAGAATTTGCTAAAAT